AGTTTTTGACAAAGAACGAGCTGATTCCAATCTATCAGCAAGAGTAGGATTAGATGTTTCATTAAAATGGGGTTTTTTCGAGGGTTGAAGGGTATTAGATCGATGTCTTGGATCATCAATATTAATAAAAATCCTCACCTCTTCTTCTCCATGTTGAAGAAGAATTGAGTCAGGCAATTTCGGACGACCCTCTTCAAATTGTACAAAAATTTGTCTTCTAAAAGACAAAACATGTGAGAAATCATGGTCTCTAACTCCAGCTGTAACATGCTGCAGTTGAGAACATGGTATTACAAATTCGGTGAGAGCATTGATGATTTTAGAGTGAGGGATTAATGGATTGACATTAGACAGTGTCAATCTTATTGTTGGGTTGATCATTCGGCGCACTCTCAGAGGCCCTTGTTTGGTGATAATGTTATTTTGGGCAACAACTGTGTCCACCCATTTAATTTCCGATAAATACATGCACATTCTCCCATTTGAGATTCGAGAAGCATAGATAATCTCTTTTGGAGGAACGAACTCACCTACTGCTCGAAGATAGTCAAGCAATGTTAATTGATCAATAACAGGAATGATAATTGCGTGTTCCTTGGTTAGGTTGTTGGTGTTGGAGGAGGATGAGGAGGAGGTGGATACAGCTTGTGCGAAAGAGAGGTTACCAGGTGGTTTATGGAGAGGAGGAGGATTGTGGGTTTTGTTTACATCTGGGCAAGGGCTTGATGAGATTGTTGTTGTTTGGGCGACTGGAGAGGAGGTTAAATTTGATTGAGAAGGATCAGCTGATACCTCGGCTACATTGTCTTTGAGCGAAGATGATGAGGCAGAGGAGGGAGCTTTTTTTCCCGTGGCTGGCTTCATGGCACTTCACTTTTTTTGGAGGTTAAGAGAAAATTGCACAGTAAAAATGCACTAATTTGAGAGGAGTAAACAGAATTCACTCTGTACGAAAGAGCAGGAAGGCGGCTGAAGTCAAACGTTGCACATTGTACTGGCAGAAATAACTTTACGAACCCGGGAAGCCAAAAATGCACTAAACATCGGAGCCCGATGAAAACGCGACCAGCCTTCCGCTGTATTGCGACATTTAGCAATGGCTATAAAAACAACTAAGTATGTGGTTATATAGAATCTGAGCTCTAAAATTTATTGAGTGTTCGAAGGATGAAACGCTTATTTGTGCTCTGAAGCAATAACTTTTCAATGGCTATAAAAACAACTAAGTATGTGGTTATATAGAATCTGAGCTCTAAAATTAATTGAGTGTTCGAAGGATGAAACGCTTATTTGTGCTCTGAAGCAATAACTTTTTTTTTTATATATAAGAACATTTAAAACGTAACTAATACAAGAATATGTCTTGTATCTATCTAAATGATTTAAATAAACTACATTAATTTCATTAAATATACAAAATTACGTTGGATAATTCAGCAACTAAATATGTATGTATACAGAACCATGAGCTCTAAGATTGATACAATGTTCGAAGGATGATACGATTAATTGTGTTCTGAAGCAATAATTTGATGACAAAAAATGACTTAATTATTACGCTTTGCGTTACTCTTTGTTGAATTTGTCAAGAACGTACACTTTGGTGCTTTTAACTCCGAGGTTGCGTCGAAAATTTACGTTTACCCACCAACACGAATCGATACAATCGCTATAATTTTCTGTGCGGAAATAATCGGCTCGAAACGATATTTTGAAATCAACAACTTAAAATGCAGCTAAATCTCTGGCCATGGTCCCATTTTAAGTTGTTGATTTAGTATTTTCTGTGAGTGGAACAAATTATTTTACTTGTTCATTTTCTTTTATTTGTATAGTGATGTTGTATATCCAAAAAAGCGAATACAAACTGAAAGAGACACTCTAGACAAAATTCTCTTATGTTCCCTTTGATTGAATAGTTAAATGAGCTTTGAAAAACCGAAAATGTTACAGCATCATAGACACTTTGATTGCGTGAAAGTTCTCAAACACTGGAAAAAACATATTGGATCTATAGTCCAGACTCTTGAAAACATTGACAAGAAAAATGACTCTTGATTCAATCAGATTTAAGGTTAAATCAAAAGGAAATCCACTCAAATTAAGAGGCTTGGTTCTTGATTTAAGCTTAAGTCTGATTGAATCAAGAGTTTTTTTTTTCTTGTAGATGTTTTTAAGAGTCTGGACTCTAGATCCAATGTGTTTTTATTTTCCAGTGGACGATGGAAAACATTTTAGCGCACTTCGTTCGGGGAAAAATTTGGCAATGCTCAGTCTAGCTGAATAGAGAAAAAATTAAACACCAGCTTCGTTTGCCGAGCGCACAGCGGTGAAATTGTTGAAAGTCAATCATCAACAGAGCTGTCAGAGTTAATGACAATCCCCTGTCATTCCAGGATAAAAGTTCGTCCTTTATCGCGGATGCGACAACAATGACACCGGCGCCTCGGCGCTCATCCCGAGCAACGATACATCGTCCTGCGATACATCGCATCGAGTTTCGATTTTCCCCGTTGCTCGGATAGGGCGAAGTCGACACGGCTCCGGACGAGGCCATCACGTCCCACGCAATTACAGCCGCGAGCCCCATCCCCCTTTTTTTATCGCGAGTAAAACGATTTCGGCCACGTTAAAACCCTTTTCCCGCACATCGTGATCCTCATCTCGTCGCGGCTACTCCGGCTCGATGAAGGTAAACTAAGAACACAAACCGAACAGGATTGAGGAAAAAACGAAACGCGGAAAAAAAAGTTCCCGGAAAAGAAGTGTCTGCCGTATCAAAATTATCGGCGGATGGTAGGAAAACTTCGAGTCAGGGGAAGATGGAGGGATGGAAGGGGAGGCTCGAATGGTACTTGCAATGCAGGAAAGAATGGGTGTTGGATTGTTAGGGAGGTTAGACGAAACTTTACTTTCTCAGCATGCACGCACCTCTCATTCAATCCCTATTACTCTAAAGTCTCTAATCGGTTGGCTCTGTTGCCTCCTGTTCATATACTCCTCTAACGGTTGATGAGCCTTCCACTTTAAAGGAAATTGCGTTGGAGTAGGGTTTTAGAATTGCCAAAAAGGAATTTCCTATCTTTAATTTTAGATGTACAGAATACCAAGTCAAATATAAAAGCACGTACCTGCACAGAGAAACTAATGGCGAGTACGCTGTTTCTTATAAATGAGCCAGAAATCTAGTGGTTTCTTTTTGCAAAATTAAGTCGAATCAATAATTACATACGGCATTTTATCGGTTAAGACCAAATTTTTGATCCAGGTTTTGATCCCAATAGCTCAATCCTTTTCTTGCCATATTCCTCCCTTTAGTCCCCTTCCAGAGATAACCAATTGTTGTTATTCTGCAAAATTACATCAGATTTTTTTCGTCTCATCAAGAATATTCTCTGAGAATTTCTTGTAAGAGCATGTAGAAGTAATATTTTAAAAAAAAATAAGCCCTAAGAGGAAATTTCGATTCGTTGCAAATGAGATCCGTCCCTCCAGTTTTACCGGAAATTGTGTAAAACGCATAGCACTAAAAGAAGCGCCAAAAATTTGAAACTACTAAGTTGTATCAAATTAGGAGTAAAATATCCCTCTTAAAATCGATTCAAATGGAGGATGAACAGTAACTCCTCTGCAACTAAAAAAAAAAAAAATTAAAAAAGATCTAATGTGGCAATATGCCTCAAATACGTCCCGCTAGATTTAGCCGAGTTCAAAAACCGTGTTCAAGCGAATTAATCCGTATGAATTATACGACTTAAAAAAGTCCCGAGGGGGTTCAAAGAGCGGAAGATGCGGGGATTGAGGCCGGGCCAATAGGGGACGACGCTCATAAAACCCACGCGAATTCTTTTGAACATTTGAATAATAAGGCTTTCGTTGCGAACTCTTTTGTTTAAGTTCGCTCTTAATTTTAAAGCGGATAAACAAGGTCGAAACAAACCGGGCGGCTTCGTAGACGGGGCGCGGTAAATTGTGGAGACTTGGAAAAACAGTTAATCTGTCTCGCAAATGTAGATAGAATTAGTAACCGACCAGCCTCACGAAACCACAAACACAATCCGTTCCTCTACATCCTTTTAAGAATTAAGGTATCACCGTCATCTCATGGGGCATGATTAGCCACTAGACCACTGTAGTAACCGTTAGCCATAGCAAAAAACTTAAGAATGAATATATGCTTATGCTCATACCACCGTCAATAAAATGATAAACTAACCAACTGAGTAAAACGAGATTGCTGTAACTCTGTTCTAGATTTTTTCTTTTTTGTCCCCTATAATTATTCGGGACGGATGTCCGTGTTGCATACACAAGGAAGTGAAGGCGTTCTGACTCGCCGGGCACTCAACGCTTCACCCGCAGCGCAGCGTGGCGGTGGGATGCATGATGCAGTGCTAGTAGCCAAAATGACAGTCCGAATCGAAACGAAAAGCAACAAAGAATTGAAAGTAGAATCTCAAATGCATTCGCGGAGTTCCGCGTGAAAGTTTGATGGGAGAACAAATATTTCAGTGTTCAGTTTGTTATCCTTTCTGGGGGTCCGTTCTCCCGAGTGATAACCTGAGGTCTTCACCTTCCGACCAAAGAATCACAAACGCCATGCGGAGTTTCAAAATTTCCGCCGCCATTTTATTTTTTTACAGATAAATTGCTCAACGAAACTGTCTGAAATTTCACTGAATTTTTTTTGTGCTGCCGATTAAATTCAGTAAAATTTTCGAACGGATTCGACCAACAATTTCTCTGTTAAAAAATAAAATCACTGGAAAAAACACATTGGATCTAGAATCCAGACTCATAAAAATATCGACAAGAAAAAATACTCATAAATCAATCAGAATCTAGCTTAAATCAAGAACCAAGCCTCCTAATTTAAGCGGATTTCGTTTTAATTCTAGCAAAAATCCGATTGAATCAAGAGTATTTTTTCTTGTCGATGTTTTCAAGAGTCTGGACTCTAGATCCAATGTGTTTTTTTTCCAGTGATGGCGGCGGAAATGTTGACACATCGCGCTTGTGATACTTCGGCCGGAAGGTGACTATGTAAAGGCACTGCAAACTCCAGGACCTGTCTGGAGGCTGAGCGCAGGACATTGAAAACTTCATTTATTGCTCCAATGAACTGTGACTCACCCTTTAACGCCCGTGCACTTTGTTTTGTTCCTCCGTTTCACTCGTCTTCCCTGCTTCTCCGGCGCGGCGCACAGTTGAGCGAGTCAATAGGAGAAGTCGGACAAAATTTGGAAACTTCAAACGCATAAAACTCCGAATATACGAAACTTTAAGGTTCTAATAGTGGTTCCACTGGTTTTCTCGTGAAATTTTCTCCAAAAAGTACCCCTTATAGTTTAAAATGTGACGAAATAAACATTAAAATTTGCAATTTTTGTCCAAGATTTAATGTCCGACCTCCCTTATTGACTCGATCCACGGTGCGGCGGCGCGACGTCTCTCTCGCTTCCTGTCGTGCACGCGAGCATGCACCATGCAGTCGGTAAATTAGCGACGCGCACTCCCGGTTGCATCCCTTGAAAGGCGCCGCTCCACGAGCACGACCGAGTGAAACGGAAGCCAAGTTATGAGTCTGCCGGGGATTCGCCGATGCGTGTCTTTGCTCTTCTTGCACCAAGAGCGCTGGCACATAGAATTTCCTCTGAAAGAACAGTGTTCGTGAACCTTCCCCTCTGCACAGGAGCGTCATTTCAGTATGTCCTGTTGTTAGTTCAAATGCCGTGATACAACTATTCGTACTTGATGGATGTCCATGTTGCATTGTGAAAAAGTGACTCATGTAACCGAACCTCGGTCCATGTATTCGCGCCTCGGTTTAAGTAATCGGACTTCACTCCTCATGGCCGAACTTTCAAATTAAACTCAACTGCAGAGAGTAATCATTAACGTAAATAGTCTATAAACAAACTGTACAAAAATGAATAAAAGAGGAAAAGATAACCAAGAAGCACGCAATCTTTGGTTTTAAACCGTTTGTACATCGATCTTTCAGAGTCAACTACGTCCAAATTTGAGCGTTTGGCTGCTCGCGCACCACGCTGCAGCACAGTAAAAGCACAAAATATGAGAGAAAAAAATTAAAGCGCCTTGGAAATCATTAAATTTGACACGGAGCAATCTTAATATTTACAAAACGCTCATTATATTTTCCTTTCATACATATTTTTTATTTCATCAATTTAAATAAGAATAATTCATTTAGAGTGTGCAAATATTTCATAATCATGAGTTGAAAAACGCTGCCTCTGCGAGTTTAAATATTAGAGCCAAACACAGAGCGGAGCGGTGTGCTGCCAGCGCGACACGCGCACCGGCGCCTTCAAACCTTACAGGGATACTTCACGCATTACGCAACGCGTGAAGTATCCCTGTTAGGTTTGAAGGCGCCAATGCCCCGCATTGCGCAATGCGTGAAGTATTCCTGTTAGGTTTGTAGGCGCTAGTGCGCATGTCGCGCTGGGCAGCACGCCGCTCCGCTCTGTGTTTGGCTCTAATATTTAAACTCACGGAGTCAGCATTTTCCAACGCATGATTTTGAAATGTTTGCACACTCTAAATTGATTACTCTTATTTAAATTGATGAAATAAAAAATATGTATGAAAGGAAAATATAATGAGCGTCTTTATTTTGTCTGAACTTCCTATACAAAGACGACCCCCTCCGCCTTCACTGAAAAAAAGGAATCTTAAATTCGCCACCAAGAAGTATTTTTTCTCAAATCAAGAATTTTGCTGCTTAACTTCAACTAATTTTATGCTTAATCGCAGCATTATTTCTCTCGTATCGAGAAAAATTCAGCTTAAATCAAGATAAAAAAATTCTTGGCGGCAAATTCAAGAATCATCATGCTCGAGCCAAACACCTTTTTTTCAGGGTTCCTCCGCTTTCAATCCCGTAGGCGGCGAGCATAGAGTACATAGAGTCGTAATGTAAGTAGGTGAGCTGGCGCCACTTTTAAGCATTTTCCAGATCCCGAATTCCGAGACTCCTGTGTGACGCCGGGTCACTTTTTCTATACATAATCGATTGTTTGCGATACACAGGTACCCGACCATCCGATGTAAACAAAGAAGATAGGAATCACCACGTATTCGACACCGCCATTTTGGATCGAACATGTATCGAAAAAGTGACCCGAACTCGGCGCACACCGGGCTCGGAACTCGTCGAGCAGAACATGGCGCCAGCTCTTTCATTTACATTACGACTCTATGTACTCTACGACGACGAGCTAAACGGATATCAAACTATTATATCCTCATCAATATTGACGGAATCGAATTCTGAGTGAAGCGTTATTGGTTTTTTTTTCCAGACTGTGATAAACTTCTCGACGTACCCGATCAAGACGAGTCGTCAGATGTCGCCCTGTGACGAGGGGTACCTCTACATCCCGGTGGCGTTCATGGCCATGCTGTACCTGGTCTACCTAGTGGAGTGCTGGCACTGCACGGCCCGCGTTGAGCTCGGCCACAGGGAGGACTCAGCATCCGTCCTGCAGAGGATTCAGCTCATGAGACAATCCCAGCCCATTATCTGGTAAGTCCCGACACCTGCTAACTCCACCGAGAGAGAACCGAGTTTAGAAAGTGGGAGAAAAGTCCTGTTCTTTTTTGAGAGGGAGCCAGCACTTGAGAAAGGAATTAACGGTGCTTCCCGTCGAAACTTCGGTCTCTCAGGTGAACTTCGGAACTTTGAGAGCTGCGAGAATTTTCAAATTTCGAGGGTTGATTTGGTGCAGAAAGGACCTTTTTCAAAAGCGGTTATTTTGAACCTCGGCCAAATCTTCGAAATATGAACAGGGTTGATAGAGGATCAGTTCCAGAGTCCAAAACACTCACAATTTTTTTTTTTTTTTTTGGGGGGGGGAGGGGATGGGGTTGAAGTTAAAACCTTAAATTAGCATATCTCGTAAACGGGTTATCATTCGAAGATAATAATGGTCTTAAACTTCAGAGAAAATTATCAGCCTTGAGCTGATATCAACGAAATTGATCGATTTTGGAATTTTTATCCATTGTTGCCACGCTGCCTTAGCTCAAATATCCAATTTCTTACATTTTGAGCTGCGGCGTTGAGGAGGTCGCACGAAAAGTAACAAAATTCCTTTTTTTCTCTGTATCTACATTAGATATGTAACCATAGTAGAAAAAGAGAGTGAAACAGAGAGTAAAGTTCACAGTGGCGAGGCGTGACTGGTCGATTATCGATATTTCCCCATTTGAAGCTATAATAAAGTATCGATTATTAAGGTGTTCGTTGCGTTCACCCTGTTTATCTATCCTTTTTTATAGATTTAAATGACAGATCAGTCGATATATTGCTAAGCACACCAAGCCACCGGAGTAAACAGCCGTTCTAAGGAAAAACACCGTATGAGCCTTCAGCCGTTGCCAAATTTCCTTTGATAAAACACAAATTTCCTGGTGAATTTGTGCAAATTCTCCTTACAATTTTCAAGATAATTTTGTGCGCAATTTCACCTTAAGTTCCTGAAAATTTCAAGGAAAAATATTCATAACTTCCCTTAACAATAAACATTTCATCGAAGGAAATTTGGCAACCGTCGAATGTTCATACGGCGTTTTTCCTTAGCACGGCAGTAAAGAAGTCCGTCATATCCGGTCAGGAAGTTGTTTCAAATCCACAGTCTGGGTTTTTCCTCCAATAAATCATGTGACAGCGAGTGTCGGATAGTTAGCCTTCTCTTAGCTTCTTTATTGCTCCTTTACAAACAAGGCACAACCTATTACTGACTGATTCAGGGCAAGCTAACCGCGAACGCTTCCGGGGTTTTTCCGAAGCTTTGATGTCGGAACTTAGTTATATCACATGAGTCAATAACGTCAAAGTCCCTTTAAGCTGATGTGCACTGACCAGGCTAATGCTTCATCGCGGGAGAAATGAGGAAAAGAATCCGACGTTTGCAGAGATTAAGGAAAAAGGTGGTAGGATTAATGTCAAAGGAGGCTCTTGTGAGACGTTCTTGGCCAAATTTTTGACGGTGACCGCTCCTAAACCCTCTTCAATAATTGGCACCCGGAGGAACTGAAAAAGAAAATAATTTCGTTGAACAAAACTAAAAAAATTCGACTGATTATAGCTAATCAAACAACGGTACTTACAACTTATGTCTAAAAAATGCTTTTTGCTTAAATTTTAAAATGTTATGAAAAGCGTAATTTTTGTTCGTTTCTTTTTAAGTAATGTCATTAACTTTTATTCGCCTATTTTCTGCTACCGCGGGAACCTGCTACATCCGATTGTAACCCAGAGGATAAAATGGATCGCATTAAGCAGAGAGGAACCAAGCCTCATCAGCTATTGCCGTACTTATTTTGGCAATTTAATTCTTTTAAGAAAAATGTTTGTGCAGATTATGGTGCGAATCTCATTGAATTCTCCGCATACTGAGGAGTAAGTTTTCTTAAAATTGTCAAAAAAAACCCGCACAAACCCCATTGGCGGATCCAGCAAATTGGCAACATTGTTTTTCTCCATTTAAACCTGTGGAAATGTATCGATTCTTGGAGAGGCCAGGTGCTCTGACAGGGGTCGATTATTTAACATAGGTTTAAATGGAGGAAATCCGGCGTTGCCAAATTGCTGGATCCGCCTCTGACAAACCCCCTCTTGCAAAAAAATAAATTTATCCTGATAAATTTGGCAATAGCTGACGCGGCTTAGTTCCTTTCTGCTTTACTCGGTCCAAATGCTCAGCGCCGGCTTCTCAACCTTGTTTCATTTTTTTGCAATTTCATCGTATTAAGAATTCTTTCTTCCAGGGTCCTTCCTTCTCTTTCCACCCTCTTATCTGCACTTTATTTTCCCTACAAACCGCCCCCCTTCCGTCCCTCCCCCTTCCGAGCGCCTCGCGCCTCCTTCGGCGTCGCGGTGACAAATTAGCGAGCACTTTGCGTTAAATCAACACCGTTTGAAATATTTGCTCTGCATTCTGCTACCTTTTCCCGGGCGGGAAAACAGAGGCGAGCGGGTTTATTCAGACCGGAGAAAGGGAGCGAAGGACGAAAGGGCGGGCCGGGGGGGAGGGGGGGGGTGAAATGAGACCTAATTAATGACTCGTCTCAGAAGCTCGTTAATCCTCCTTTCGTCTCGCTTTTTTCTCCCCCCTCCCTCCCCTTTTTGTCGGTCTTCACGATGTAGAACATTGGTCCTGCACTAATGCAGTCAAATTTCAATGACGACCTTTCTGCCGTGCCAAGGAAAAACGCCGTATGAACCTTCAGGCGTTGCCAAATTACCGTTGATAAAACACAAATTTCCTGGTAAACTTTTGAATATTCTCCCTCCAATTTTTCAGCTAATTTTGTTCGCAATTTCACCTAAAGTTCCTGACAATTTCAAGGAAAGATATTAATAACTTTCCTCAAAAATAAACGTCTTATCGAAGGAAATTTGGTGACTCTCGAAAGCTCATACGGCGTTCTTCCTTAGCATGGCAGCTCTCCTTTCCGTCACCCCAGAAAAAAAAACAGGGGAAAAAATAAACCGCCAGACCTTCGTTCGTCGAGCCTAACGATATTGAAATTAACATCATACTCCGGGGAATGAAGTCCACGTGAGCTTTGTGTTCGAGTTGAGGCAACAATGAAAGCAATAGCGGGTATTGTTTTCGAGCGGTGGGAAAATGACATCTGCACACGGTTTTATACGCATTCGATTGCCTATGAAAATAGGATCGGGTGACTAAGCAATATTTTAAAATGCGGGCGCCGGCAGGCCACCATAAATTGCTGACCGCCTTTGCGAAATTGTGCGCGTGACGGAAAAAACAAAAATTCAATAAAGGGACGGTTTTTAATGGGGGTCTTTCCTCAAAGAAAATCCCGTTATGATTTTTTTATGGGTTTTTCTCAGCGCAAGGCTGCCGATTCTTGGATGATAAGGAACCACTGTCTCTGGCTCTTTCATAAAAGCACGTATCTGCGGTATCACGGTAAATTAATGATATCTATTTGATGTTTCTAAAATAAGCTAGAAATAGCGGTTCCTTATTGCAAAATGTAATCCATGTAGGGTTACGAGGACACGAAGAATCGTTGTCCTTACAATGCTCATGGTGGATTCCGGCTCTTTCCCCATACTTTTCTAGTCGTTGTCACAATGTTACTTTTGAGGTAACAATTATTTCAGTTCTGGCAACAATGCTGACCGGGACGGCATTGTCACTGGAACGTTGTCATTGGGCTGTTGTTGTCTGTGGCACCGCGATGATTGTTACCAGAAAAATAACATTATAACTACGCCTAAACAAGTTGTTAGGGTTGAGTACATTGCAAAAAACTCTTAAAAGACAGTTTAAAAAAAAAAAAAAAAAAAAAAATCTTGCACTTAACTATCATCTCTATAAATGTAAAAAATTGGAACTATATTATTATCGCACGTAATGTTTGACAAACATGCCTGATTACTTGGTCTACGGTGCGGACGAAAAACCAGGAATAAAGGGTTTTAAAAAATGTCTGCCGAAAAAGAAGATGTGCCACTGTCAAAATTGACTTTAAAAGGGGCCTTAGGACTTTAAAAAACATGGTGGTGCCTTAGAATACACAATTTTATTTTTTCAAAAACCTATGGCTCCGATATAACACTTAATGGATTCTACTCTGTCTAGGACTTTCTTTCTTTATTTTTCACTGCTCGCTAAATTTTGACTCAAGCGACAGAAATATGTGCTTTATTCTTACGTGACTGCATTGTTAATTTGGAACATTTTCTAAATCCTAAGTGGATTCCTTTGTTCCTAAAAAGGGACAAGGGTCAAGGGGCAACGAAACCTACAAAGCTAGTAAGTTGATGAAAGTAAAGTAAGTAAAGAAAGTAATAAAATAGTATGCCAAAGAAAGTAATACATTATTACTCTAAAATATAAAACTATCAGAGTAACGCGTAAAGTATTACGCTTAAGGCGCTACGGGGGTTGTATCGCGAAGCAGTCAGAAAGCGTAGCCCCCTAGTTATTGATAAAAATCGGGTAATATTGCATGCATTTAAATGCGATCCGATAAAAAAGGGCCAAGGAGGAAAACTCCGATGCACAGCCTGATAGCACTATGCAGATCTCCTTCAAATAGGCGTATAGGCAACATCACTGCCTTGAAGTTGATATAGTTGTATTCTCGGATTCAACATTTTCAATGACCGAATGAGTTCGTAAATGCCGATTGCCCTTCTTCTTTTCACCACTTCTTTTGAGTTTAACTAACAGGCTTCTTTTGCTATTTTATTCGAAAATATTTTTCAAAATATTCAGGAAATTTTCTCCGCTATGAGAAATAGTTTGCTTAGTTGGCGATGAAATGCAAGAATTGGAAGTATCCTCTCTCCTTTATTTTCTTGTTGATAATGTCCCCTGAAAGTTTAAGCCACGATAAAAGAAAATTCTGTGAAAACTTCAAGGAATATGTTGATATGTTCTCCTTTAAAGATAAAATAAGAATGGAGAATTTAAAACATCGCAAACGATATTCATGATTTGACAGTTTTGCCGTCGATATAGAGTTTAATAGTCCAACGGG